TTCATTAGCTAAGTTCAGCCAGGCACCAGGGGCGGATGCAGTTATCCGGGCTCAGTGAGGCCTGACAATTATGAGAAGCCACAAGAATGAAGAATTACAGCTTGATCTTCGGTAAGCATGATTTCACATATTTTCCTTTGTATTAAACTCCAGTAAAACTTCCTGATATCATGCTGTATATAATAAATGCGCTGCACTAGCTCTGGGTCACTGTCTCTCCATCCGAGAATAGTGTCCCACCTGGTCCCAGCTTTAACTACTGTCTCTGTGTCTGTTTCTCTTTCTCAATCCCCAGTCGCTCCTACACAGGACTAGTTCACTCTCTAGCCGTGCTGGATGCAGCTGGAGAACCGGCATAGGTAAATGTACAGAGTTGTGCAACCATAACCATAATCTAATTTTACAACATTTCCAAAATCTCAAAAAGAAACACTGTGTCCATTCTATTTTATTATGAAAAATTTCAAACATACACATAAGTAGAGAATAGCATAACCTCCTCCCAAGTACCTATCATTCAGCAAAGGCCCTTAGCAACATACATTGCACTTTTATTTGCATATCAGACAGTCTTCAAATTGATAAATAATCTCTTTAAGGTGACTGTTTAGTAAATTAGAAAATGAATTCTTTTATCAAAAATAAAGTCCTCCATTAAGCCCTGGTCCGTGTAGCTCAGTTGGTTGAGCATAGTCTCATGCACCAAAAAGTCACTGGTTCGATTCCTGGTCAGGGCACATGCCTGGGATTGTGGGCTCGATCCCCAGTAGGGTGTGTGCAGGGGGTAGCCAATTGATGTTTCTCCTCTCACATTGGTGTTACTCTCTCTCTACCTCACCCTTCCACTCTTTCTAAAATTAATAAGATATTTTTAAAATTCCTCTTAAAGAGAGATTGCGAAGAATATTCATAGGGCACTCTTCAAACACAGATTCAGAAATTGCTCTAACAGAATAAAATGAGATAAATTGATTCTAGGTCCTCCTCCCAATATAAAAATGAATCCCAGGACTGTTCAGCTAACAGTAAACAACTAGAGTTTGATGACTAGAGTTCTAACTAAAGCAAAATAAATGATCTTATCAGATTTTATGATAACCAGATGGAGGTCTCCAAGACCATGAGGGAGTGTGTGACATCATCTTCAAAGAGTAAAAAATGTTAGCTGATTCAAAAATCATATAGAATTATCTTCATTTTAAAAATTCACTCTACATGGTGAAAATTAAACAGAAATTAGATTTCTGTATAAAATCAGTATGTATTTTTGACCCAAGAGTTCAATATAGTAATTGTCAAATACACCAATACAACAAAATAATAAGATCATGGAATCAAAATCCTAAGTGCTTATTAATCTTGTTAACGATTTAATATTAAGAAATAAACTTATTTCAATTATTTTCCTTCTTCATCAACCTTCTCCATGGTTTTCTCATTAAAAGCTGCTGTTTTTAATATCATTTTATCAGTATGTCTCAGCAACAGAGGCATATATTTTACCTCCCATTTAATGCATTTCTGACCTTCATACCACACAGTAACTAAACAAATAAAGGCTAGAGTCAGACTACCTCTTTTCAAATCCATACTCCATTATTAATTTGGTATTGATGATGAGCAGATTGCTTATTCGGGTATCTACTTCCTTATCTGCAAAATAGATGATACTAACACCTACCTTGCAGGGTTGTTGTGAGGGTTAAATAAAATGACTCATGGGATGAACCAAGCACTATTGTTATCACAGGAAATGCTCAATAAATGACTGTACTTATATCATTATTATTATTAATGCTCAATACCTCTCTGCTAAATCTATGATAATTTCCATAGAAGAGGTAAAAAAAGAACTGAGTCAAATAATTTAGAAAATTATTTAAAATTATAATAGAAACTTTGATATAAATTACCTGCTTGAAAAACGTTTGTTGTCTGTGCCTGCTTAGCATAAAGTACGCATAAAGCCGAAGAACGTCAGATGCTTGTCCTGAGGAAAGCACAGCATTGACCTTCATTGACCAAGACTGAATGATTAAAAAGTTGAAAAGATGTGTTTGTAGATCGTTCAAGCCTTCATCTGCAACTATCAGGAAATATGGGTAACTCTCTTTCAAAAAATTTTTCCATTCTTGTGATAAGCATCCAGAAAATTGTGTTCGAACATCAATGGTGTTATTATGCTGAAGATGAAGAATTAAAGCAGTTCTCAAAGAAAGAAGTTCAGGGAAGTTGAAATATGCATACTCAGCATCCTGTGTGGGAGGGGTAAAATACATTATTTTGAAATTATCATTTAGTAGTTTACCAGTTTAGTTAACACATATCACTAAAGTTATTAAAGCAATAGGTTCCAACACACTTCTGCTCTGTTTTAGAGACCTTTAAACCTTGACTGTCATCTCACAAATACATGCCATAAACCACAATTTGGATGTAAATGTGTGTACCCCTTTTAAGCAGGCACACAATACTTGGGATTTATCACACTTTCCTTTCCCATTCTAATTCTTTTCCTCTCCAATCTCATTTCAAAATGAAAAAGCAAAAAAAAAAAAAAAAAAAAGAACACAAAAATATGTCAAAGCAAATGGTGGATATAAATTATCCAGGAAAAGGAAGCTGTGGTGGATCATTTTATTTGAGAAGACTGTCCCCAGGTCATTGAGACCCTCCTGAAACTGCACAGGTTTTTCTCAATAGACCAAAATTAGTGCAATAAACTGATTGTAAGTGTTAGGCTAGAAACCTGGATCTTTATTCAAAACACTGCATGCAAGCAGTCAGCAATATTTTTAAAAAATCTAACAATAGCGTGGATTGCAAAATGTTATTGAACAGACATACACCAAACTCCTTCAGGGATAGGATAAGGAAGGGGTGGTAGTGGTTATACATATCTGTATTTGAACTGTTAAAATTTTATGATTAATTGTATTCATAATAAAAAAGCAGATCAAATATATTCCCTTGGAGGTAGGTACTATAGAGCAAATAATAAAAAAAGCAGTGTTAGTAAGTTTTGACATTCTTTTGGGATCAAATATGTTGACTGCTGAGTTTTGGAGACAGAAGTTAGAAGTCTAGAATCCAGAGATCCATTAGACCACTGTTTAGGGCCTTTCTCATCCTCTTTCATGATTCTGCATGTTCTTACAACAAAGTTCCATTATTGTGAATAATAAACAATATTTTGTAACTTCTGAATACTGTGATTATGGGTAATTGTTTTCTGTTCTTCCTTTTAACTTTTCTAAATATTTATAGATATATTTCCACTTGTAATAAGAAAACACTTTTATAATAGAAATTTTAGTTTTAGTTCTCAAATCATAGAAAAGGATTCAACTGTCACATTGTACCTTGAAGAAAACTATGGCAAATTGTCCTCCTTTACTAATAATATCCACAAGGTAGCGTTCAACCAAATAGAAGAAATGGAGCTCCTGCCCCTGCTTTAATGATTCCTCACATATGAACATGACAAGCAATGAATCTCCATCAATGAGAAAAAATTCAGATTCAACAAAATCATTGAATATACTGGAAAAGCTAAAATAAAAAGAGTTAAAACAAAAATTAGATATAAATTAAATAAGGTCCAAAAAAAAGGCAGCAGCCTGTTATTAGCTCAGTATCACTATCATCAATAGCTGAATTTACTGAGTAACCATTCATGTCAGGCTCAATACTAAAACATTTCAAATATACCCATATACATGACTATCTTTCAAAAAAAAAGAAGGCAGGATCAGTCCATTCTATAGAGAAGGGAACTTAGGCACAAAATGATAAGGGAAGATTATCTAAAGCCATACAGCAAAATCTGGATTGGACTCAGGAATTTAACACCCATATTTTGAATATGGACCTGAATCATATTTTCTTCCTGTTTAATCAATTTCATTCCTTTATAAAACAATGGGTTCATTGACGGCTGTAGACAAAGAATGCAAGAAAAAAATGTTCCCATTCACCATCAACCAGCTTTAAAAGTTGTGTTAAGTAATCATATATACAACTATATACATATTTAATGCACTATAATATATACTAAGATAGATGATGAGATAGATAAATAGAGATCACTTTAAGGTCAAATAGATAAATAGAAATAGGACATAGAATTTTATATCTCTTTTACTACCACAATATTACTCACTCAGCTTTTGGCATTTCACTCAAAATTAACTCTGAAATTTCCTCTAAGAACATCCTATATTTTTCTAAACCTAAAAAAAAAGAAAAAGAAAATGGGTTATTTACAGTCAGTCTTTCTTTTCAAAGAAAACAGAAATAAAACTTTTAAAATCTAATAAAACTGTACAACATACAGTTTTAGAAATTATTTCAGAAATTATGAATATTTTAAAATGAAAATTACCCATCTTGTTGCTACCTGCGCCTCCAACCTGAACTGGAAAATATTAAATATAGCAAAAATCCTTTACTTGGGTACCTCTAAGTGGCAGTTATTAATGAAAATGGCAGACCTACAAAAAAGAGAAGAAAAGTTAGAAATGTATTTATTCCATTAACAAATCATATTGAATGACTACTGTGTGCTAAACAAAACATAGGACACTGGAAATACAAGAACGGACCAAAGTCAACATGCTGTCAGTTCTCATGAAGCTTAAAATCTCTCAGGAAAGACAAATATTAATCAGAGAATCATATAAAGAGTGGAAAATTAAAAGTGTGACAAAATCAAAGAGGTTGGAGGAAGCTACCCCAAAGAAGTAATGCTTAGTCTGACTTCTGAGGGATCAAAAAAGATGCAAGGACTGTAGCATTCCAGGCAAAGAGAGTACCTGAATACCATGTGCAAAAGCCCTGTGGCATGAAAACGTGTGGATGGAACTAGATATTGAAAAGAAGCCAGCCAGAATGGAGTGGAGAAAGTGAGGGAAGAGCTAGCAGTGCTAGGGAGGACTACAGAAATATAAGGACACTCATAGCTTTTGAGGGCATGTTTCTGATCCTAAAATGCACTGATAGATTTTAAGCAGATAGCATTATAACTGGTTTTGCCTATTCAAAGATTACACTGGCTATAGAGACTTGTCAGGATGAAAGCAAAGATCCAGTTAGTAGAGTAGAGAGAAAACCATTGTTAGAAAAATCATGACAGTAGTTTGATCTAAGAGAGCTTGATGGTTGTTTGAAGCACATACTGATAGTAAATATTTAGCAGGTGAGTTTGACAAGATCTGATAAGGAATCAGGTATGAACAGAGAAGAGGGGATAGTGAACATTGGCAAGAATAACTCCCTAGGATTCTACCTGATGCAACAGGATGAATAAGTAGGCCATTCCCTAGGCAATATACCCTGGAAATAGGTCACATTTCAGGGAAATATCATTTGTGGTCAATGAGAGTTTGACTTGCTTTTGAGCCTTACCACAGAAATGTCATGTAAGAAAATATACAGTACAAGAACTCAAATACAAGGTCTGGGCTAGACCTGAGTATGTGAGTAATTTGAGTACTACGATAAGTAAAGTCAGTGTTGAACATAAAGTTACAGCATCATTCACGAAAATGACTGAAAATCCAGTGTTTCAGAGCACTAATATTTAATAAATGTTGAGAGAGGAGGAAACATCTGCAAAGGTAACTAAGAAAAACACGACAACAATGGCAGAAGAAAATGCACTTGAGCATTTTGTCACAGTAAACAAATATTGAGACATTTCTCAAATATGCATATAGTGTGTTAGGGTCGTGAAACTCCGATGACAGATGGTAGGTAGGTAGGTAGGTAGATAGATAGGTAGGTAGATAGATATTATATGACATTAAGGAATATATAATGGTGAGATACACATTGATATTAAATATTAAAATAATAATACAGTGAAGCATGTGGCTGTATAAATGAGTACATTTGGAAAAAGAAGAAATTACTATGGGCTGGAATATTTAGGAGACAACAGAGAAAGGGGCAGAAGCATATTTTCTCACTCTTCCAGTTATTCCATCTTTTTTCAAAGACATCTAAAGCATCTACACATCACCAAGCATTGTACTTGCTGCAATATATTGAAATATGCATAAAATATGGTCCCCTTACGTTACCATCTGGTAAGGGTTTAAAGAGAATTAAATCAAACAGTATAATGTAATGTGTGATCAAGCAGAAATGGCCTAAGAAGCCATTAGAGAACTGAAAAGGAGCTCTTTAATCAACTAGTGATCAGGGTTCTGTGTTCTGAGGTTTCAAGCACACACTGAAAAGATGATGAAAAATTTTAGCACGTTGGAGAAGAGATATAGAAGATCACATTCCATGTAGCAAAGTAGCACTGGTTTAATGTACAGAGATGTGAAACATGACAAGTTTGAGTTTCCACAAGTCACTCTAGATGGCATAACACAGGGTAACCTGATTGTAGATGAAAATCAGGGATGGACCAGATGATAAGATCATTTGCCCAAGGAAGTTTAGGTATTTCCCCAAAGCTCTCTGCCATCCAATTTGTGCAATCCTCAACCTCACTAATTGCACATTTGCCATACTGTCTTTCTTCAGTTCTGCAAGTGATATGTCCTCAAACGGAAAAGAAAAGTCAGTGAGAAACAAGTAGACAAGAGAAACTTAACCCCAAATATCTTACAAAAGGGAAACTTCAGAAAAGATAGCGTCAGATTCTACAAGATGAAATAAGTCCCAGATGTTCAGTGTCCTTAATGTCTCGGGAATTTTTTATGGTACTCCTAGGACAAAATAAATATCTAATAGTTCATTTATTAAGTAGTTAGCTCCAAACAAATTAGTAAGTCCTAACAACCTCCTTTGAAAATATATAATACACATAAATTGAGAGAAATAATAGTTTTTACAATTAAATAACAATTACTAATGAAACGTGTGTGCCTGTTGGACAACAATGGCCATATGGTAGAATAAAACACTCCTTAATTTAACAATTAAGGCCTCCTGCCTACTCTCTTCTCATATATCCTACAGAAAACTTCCTCTATTAAATTTTACCCCAAATTTATACCTGCCTTAACATTTACATAGAATTTACAATCATATGTCCAGCTCACTTTTAGTTAAGGAAGTGGCATGATAAGAAAAATAAAGCCAGCTACCTCCATAATAACCTCTGAATGAATATGCATTAAAATATTAGAATTATGCTCAGCTGGCATGGCTCTATGGTTGAGCATCGATCTATGAACCAGGAGGTCATGGTTCAATTCCATGGTCAGGGCACATGCCAGGGCTGCAGGCTCAATACCCATTGTGGGGTATGCATGAGGCAACCAATCAATGATTCTCTCTCATAATTTTTTTAAAAATATATGTTTATTTCAGAGAGGAAGGGAGAGGGAGAAAGAGATAGAAACATCAATGATGAGAGGGATTCATTGATTGGCTGTCTTCTGCACTTCCCACATTGGGGATGAAGCCAACAACCAGGGCATGTGCCCTGACCACAGAATCTAACCATGACCTCCTGGTTCACAGGTCAATGCTCAACCACTGAGCCACACGGCCGGCAGGAAAAAAAAAATTTTTTCCCCTAGGGAGAAACTTTCCATGGCTCCTATTTGTAAGAAGTGCCTTGAGGGGGGAAGGGCGTGAGTGTCCCATGAGTACTCATTTATTGCACTCTTTTGTTGCCTTCTCTTATCTATGTCTGTTATGTTGTTTGTCATTAGAAAGGAAAAAAAAAGATTTAATAAGGAGAGAAATCCAAATCTCTCCAACACCATGGAATATATTCTTTGGTTACTAATCAGAAGTTTCTAAAAGACAAATAATCTAAGAGAATCCAAAAATAAACTTTGGTCATTGAGCAGATGCTTTTCTTATTATTTGCCCTACCTGAAACCTGACAAGATATTTCAAAGAATTTATTAACTCTATGATCAGAAATTTGGCAAGCTTAGAAGTCAAGTGAAATGTTTTAAGCCTTAGTAGTTTTCAAGGTCTTTCTGATATTAACCAGAAATGTAAACACAGGCCACCACTGCCCAAGACTGAATGCACCAAAGGGAAGGAAGCACAAGTGTCTGGAAAGCCCTCCCCTCAGCCTCCTTAAAAAAATGTTTCTCAAGGACGAATGCAAATCTTGCCACCGGAATGAATATATTTAACTTGTTACAACTATAGTAAGTTAATGGATTTTGCCTTATTTTCTTTGTCTCATGGCTAAAAAATGCTTAATTAAAACTACCAGGGCTCCAGTTGTCTGTCTATATATATGTGTGTGTTGTCTACTTCCAGAGAATAAATAAACCTATATATATATGAAGAGCCAGGGTCGTAACAAGCAAAGCGACCGAAGGCTTGACCGAGTGCCAGGCTGCGTGCACAGCAGGCGAGTGGGCTGAACTGCTGACCTCTTGGAGAGAGAGAGAGGTGGGGCCGATCAGCAGTGGCAGTGGCTGCTGGCTAGGCCTGGAAAGAGAAGCAGCATGATCACACCCTGCTTCTCTCTCCGGGCCTCGCCAGCAGTCAAGCCTCTCTCTCTCTCCCAGAGGTCAGCAGTTCAGCCCACTTGCCAGCAGCCTGGGATGGCTGCTGATCACCCCCACCTATATGATCAGGCCCGGAGAAAGCCCCGGAGATGCTAACTGGCATAGAAACCAACCAATCAGAACCAAATCTGGGTGAATTGCAAGGATCCAGTGGCTGCCTAGAAGGCAGAGCTTTTGACGCTGATTGGCATAGAAACTGACCAATTAGAACCTACTATGGGTGAACTGTGAAGGCAGAACCTAAGGTAGGGGCTGAAGAGGGGTTTTAAGGGCAACTGGAGGGCCGACTTCCTTCTGGACAAAGCCACGGTGGTGGGGGCTGAGGCAGAGGCAGTTAGGAGTGATCAGGCCAGCAGGGGAGGGCAGTTGGGGTTGAGATTAGGCCGGCAGGGGAGGGAATGGAATTTGGTGGCAAGCTCAAGCCTGCAGGGGAGGGCAGTTGGGGGTGAGATCAGGCCATCAGGGGAGGGCAGTTAGAAGCAATCAGGCCGGTAGCAGAAAGCAGTTAGGGATGAGATCAGGGCAGCAGGGGGGCAAGGTAGGGGTGATCAGGCTGGCAGGCAGAGGGGTTAGAGGCAATCAGGCAGGCAAGCAGGTGAGTGGTTAGGATCTAGTCGTCCCAGATTGTGAGAGGGATGTTTGACTGCCAGTTTAGGCCCAATCCCTATGGGCCTAAACCACAGGAATCGGGCCTAAACCAGTAGTAGGATATCCCGAGGGGTCCCAGATTGGAGAGGGTGCAGGCCGGGCTGAGGAACCCCCCTCCGTCACGAATTTCATGCACCAGGCCTCTAGTTGGTTTATAAAGAGCTCTACTTAATAGGCTTAAATAACTTAAGCTCTTATATAAATAAGAAATAGAAACTGTCCTAGTTATTTCAAAAATTTTCCTCAAAATTAAGCTGGCTAAAATTGAATTTCCTTTAATAAGGGTTATTTTTGAAAATTAGGCATTTTAATAACAATGGTGTGTTTATGTAAAGCTCAAAC